CCCAGGCAGCGAAAAGGAATATCCAGGCATTTCAAAATTTGCTGCCTGCTTTCCAAGGTTATGGCCGTGCCAAGGAAAATCTCAGCGCATGCCATCGTTTCACACTCGTTATTTGGTGACTGCAGAGTTTTGCTGGGGCTATCGGTGTTCAGCCACTGCTGGGCAGCTCTGCAGCATCAAAATGAGAGCAGAGAGAGCAGCAGCAAAGAAACAAACTGCCCCTTCAAACACACCCCAGTGGTTCTTCTTGGAGGAATCCAAGATCTGGATGTGGCCCTGATAATGAACTTGGGCTGCTTTGAAATTGTATTTTGTATTTTATATTCGGATTTTTGGGAGTGATGGCAAGTTTTGGCTGTTTTGCTGGAAAGGGCTCAGCATCTGGTACCAATGATTTCATTTTCTAGGGCAAAATGACCATTACCTCCAGCAAAGAACCGCAGTCAAGTCATGCAGCAACTATGAGCAACTGAAAACCCTCCTTTGGTCTGAGGAAAAAGCTCATCCGCCACCCCACACAGAGACTCCACCTCTGCAAATCCCAACTGCACACCCACCGGGATGAGCAAAGAGTTCCAGAAGAGCCCTGTGCTCCTCAGAATCGCAGAATCATCCAGGCTGGGAAAATTCTCCAAGGCCATCGAGCCCAAGATGTGCCCAATGCCCACCTTGTCACCAGCCCCGAGTGCCACGTCCAGGAGTTCCTTGGACACCTCCAGGGTGRGCACTCCACTCCAAGGCCTGAGCACCCTTTCCATGGGGAAATTCCTCCTGATGTCCACCCTGGCCCAGCCTGAGGCCGTTCCCTCTCCTCCTGTCCCTGTTCCCTGGGATCCTTTCCTTACAGATCCTTTCCACTCAGCTTCCCACCACACAGAGCGACCTCAAATCCAAGGGACGAGGAGGAAAAGAGAAGGAATATCACGTTCTGAATGTTTCTTTTTCTGGTGCAAACTGTGCTCTGGTCATCTGCACGAGCTTCATTAGATAAACACATCGTTACCTGGAGTGCTGCGCCAAGCAACAGGCAGATCTCTGGCAAAACAAGAGCACGAAAATTCGATTTACAGAGCTGCAGTTTGAAGAGCCCGGCYTGGGAGGGAATGGAGATGAATGCATGCACAACACTCCACGGAAGGAATCAGAGATCTGTCCCAGCAAAGCCAGCCATGACTGCCATTAGGCATTTAACTGTCAAGTTCATAAGAGAAAGGGATAAAAATTCTACATTTCTTTTCAATTTTAAGAGAAAAACAAAGACCATGGCTGCTAGCAGCTGGCACACACTTCGATATTGTGCAAACATTAATCCATCTCATTCTCTAATTCAGCCAGTGACCTTAATACCAGTTCAGTTCTTAATCATCTGGCTCTATCAGTGCAGCTGGCATTCATTTCGCTTGACACAAGACCTACCCAATAAATAATAATAACAAAAACCCCTCTTAGACAATGCTTGAAAATGCTTGACCCCAACTGCAATCTATTTATCCGCCGGGTTTTATTTTCATAACAGCCTCTAGACAACACTCAGGATAACTGAAACAGCTCAAAGAGTCCTAGAAGGTTTTTAATTCATGCAAACTGTTAATGCCAGCAGAGCACCAGGAACCTGCAGCTACAATCCCGGGAGCCACGCGGGGCCGGCTCCAGCACGTTTGCATCTCACTGCTCCAATTCCATGTGCTCCAAATCTCTGCCTGCTCAGCCAGAAGGCTCACATCAGGATTCTGGGCTGCTCTGGGAATGCCAGCAGSGCTGACCAGGGGAGCAAGGAGATGACACAGAACTAACGAGAATTATCTGCAGCGGAGCTGCGCAAGGAAAGGCTGGAGGCCTCCAACAGAGATCACTCAGCAGCTTCCCCCCGCTTCCCACGGCTCTGAGCTGCAGAGAATTTGAGATAAGAGCTTAAAACTAACTCCTCTGAAACCTCGGGGGAAAAAACCTCAGAAGAACAGTTTATCGTATTATAAAGATACTATTTTTTGACAGGCAACAATTGCGATACCCAAATCTGCTTATTAAATCCTAAAGAGGGGTTATTCAAACAAACTTATCTCAAAATAAAAGCAACAAGTGAGAACCACTGAAAAAGCAACTATTTTACATCCCTCCCCCAGCCCCAGAGCCATCCTCCTCCTCTTCCTCCAGAGCAGCAAGAGTTCCTCTCATCAGGAATGAATCATGAAGACTTTAAAGAGAAAAAAAGTTTAAATGAGGAATGACATTTCCCTTAATGACTTCTAAATAGTTTAAGGCAAAAATAACTTCTCTGGCTTGAAGTTTATGGAAATTTGTCTTTTTGCCTTCAGGGACAGTGGTAGTACATGCAGAAAAACTTTTTCCCTTCAAATAAATGAATTTCTTTCCCCTTGCAGAGGCTTTTAGAGTTGCTGCTTGCATAGGATTTGAGACCAACAAACCCACAGCAAATGGGGTTTGCAGGTAAAAAAGGAAAAGGTTTGATGCTCAAGGACTCTTTAGTGACAGTGTGAATAACTACTGACTTTATAGACTGATCCCTGCCAAAAATCCACCTTTACACATTTCACAGCCTAAGCCAAACTCAGTAACATCAAAAACATGTAGATAGAAAAATTCCTGACTCTTCCACTTAAAAACTTGTTCAAAACTGCATTACACCTGACTGGGGTAGGTAAAGTAAGGCACTTCTTATCAAGAAATTCCTCCAAGCAGACATTGCAGTTGAGGTTGAAAATGCCAACAAGATACATTTTTTAAAACTTCCACCTTTTCAGCAGCCCCTGGGTGGGCTTCATAGTGAAAGAACAAAATCAAGTTACTCCCATAGAACAGCAATGACACAAGGGAAACAAGTGTAGAATCATGGAATGGTTTGGGTTGGGAACAACCTTAAATTGCATCCCATTCCACTCCTGCCATGAGCAGGGGACACCTTCCACCATCCCAGATTGCTCCAAACCCCGTCCAAACTGGCCTTGGACACTTCCAGGCACCCAGGGGTAGCCACAGCTTCTCTGGGCCTTCCCACCCTCACAGGAAAGAATTTCTTCGCATTTCCAGAGAATAAAACCCACACTGAAATAAAGGCTCCACCTGTGTGTCTGCACCAGAATCTGTGCACTGTCAAAACCACACCAACTCCACACCAACTAGAAGAAAAGTCCTGGTTGAACAGCAGCTTGTTCCAACCTTAAAATATTAAAATATGTGGCATGCTAATCGTAATGGCTAATTAAACTTTTTTATTAACATGTAGAAGAAGGAATTAAAGACAAATTAGTTTCAGCTCAGCTTTGTAACGGTCACCAAGCAGCAGCAGCCGGAGACGTGTAAAAGCTTTTTTCCAAGCTGCAATTTTATGGCAAAAAGGAAGGAAGCAGGGCACACCAGGCCTGCTAACCCCTAACACAAACCTGTAACGCCGCTGCATGCTGCAGCCCCACGGCTGCTCCCAGGACGCTTTTTTTGGGAGAACAAGCCTCAAGGTTTAAMCGCTCCAGATGAATTTGGTATTGGCACGTACAGGAAGAACCTCTCTGGAACATCCTAGTGCTGTGTACCCGGAGTTATTGATTAACTGAACTCTCCTTCCAGCCTGCAGCTGGAGGGAGCAAGAGTTTGAGTGTGCTGGCACAGGACAGGCAGGAGGAGCYGTATGAAGTAATTCTCTGTTGTGGTTACCTTGAACTTTCACCAAGGTCACACCACAATTTCCGTCAAGATTATTACAAGCCCACATGAGTGCCTGTGCATCAATAAAACCCTACAGCCCTCAGTTACCAGCTCTAAATATTTGGCTCAGGCTCTGGGCACGCTCTGCTCGCAGGAGAAGCTCTGGATTCAGAAGGGGAATTGCTTTCCCCAATAAACCATCAGGACCCAACTCCACACCATCCTCTGCTGTACCTTCATGAAAGTTTCATCTGAAAACTATTTTTAAAAAAGCAGAAACTTGGAGATCGTTTACCACCTGATAAGCACTTAAAGGCTACTCTAATTGCAGGTGAAATGTTTCATCACAGGTACTTATTATGGATCTGAGAGCACAGCTAGAAGAAAGCACCGTCTCACAATGAAGCTCCACAACCAGCATTTCTGGTTTGACACGTCCCAGCCAACCACACCGGGATCCTTCCAGATCCCTGCAGAAAGCAGCTCTGTCAGCTCTTTGCTGCCATACAGCAAGGTATCTCCATCCCTCAGTAAGGCTCTTGCTCAATTTTTTTCTCGTTAAAATTCTTCTACCTAGACTGGCAATTCTCTAATTTGCACACATCTATATCATATAACTCAAAGTAATTTTAAGAGCGCAGCTTCTGAATCTGTATTTTTCAGAAATATCAAACTCAGTTTCAGCTCCGTTATTACAATGAAGGTTTAGGATTTATGAGATATTTACACCAGTATGTGCTCATTTCTTCAGAAGTGCAACCGACCAACATGACCCATCCTTTGGGTTTAGGATTTATGAGATATTTACACCAGTATTCGCTCACCTCTCCAGCAGTGCAACTGACCAACATAACCAATCCTTTGGGTTACAGAAGGCTTTCCAAAAGGAGAAAAGTCCCAGCGCTGTGCAGCACTGGGCCACCCAGTGACCTATATACAGCTGCACTGGAGTTCAGCTTCTATTCCATAATTAAACAAGCTACACTMGCCTCACTCAGCCATCCTAGAATGCACGATCAGTCACGCCAGAGAGGGATTTTTGGTTCAGGAGAACACATAGCCTGACCTGCACTCAGCAGAGCTATGCCATACCCGTAAGTCAYGGAATGGTTTAGACTAGGAGGGACCTTAAACACCATCCCGTGGGCAGGGACACCTTCCACTACACCAGGCTGCTCCAAGCCCCGTCYAACCTGGCTTTGGACACCTCCAGGGATGGAGCAGCCATCTGGTCAYCCTCTGCCAGGGCATTCCCTCTCCTCACACCCAACATCCCCTCGACCCCCCATCCATCCCCCAGCACCGATGATGAGCTGCTCAGACGAGCCAAGGACGGGCACCTTTGTGGGGAGACCCGTTGATGCTCTCGGAGCTGGACTGCATGTCCACGGCGGCTCTCCGCAGGCTGCTAAAGTAAGCCCTGGACCTGGARAAGCTGCTGCGGGGGGAGCGCCCGTGGGGGCTGCCGAAGAGGGCGGCGGGGCCGTCCCTGCGGGCGAAGATGCCGCTGAAGAAGCGCAGCAGCCGGTGCTCGGTGCCGGCGGCGGGGCCCTCCCGGCCCAGGCGCTCCGAGAGCCGCTGCAGGTCGCTGTTATCCAGGGTCCGGTTCTTGCTCTTGCTGCGCTCCCAGCGCTCCAGCCGGGCCAGCGGGTCCGCCTGGCTCAGCACCTCGCCCACGTCCAGCGTGTTGCGCTTCTCGGGGGGCTCGGCGGGCAGCGCGGCGGGCGGCGAGGGCGGCGGCGGCCCGGGCAGGCAGCCGGAGCTGCTGTGCCGCCGCACCCGGGCCGGCTCCGCGCCGCCAGCGCCGCTCCAGTGCCTGAAGCTGAAGCTCCGCCGCAGCAAACCCGGCTGCCGCCGCGGGCTGTGGCCCCGCTCCCCCGGGCAAGGCCCGCCGTCCTTGTCCCGCTCCTCGCCGGGCGGGGACGAGGCGGCGGCAGCCGCGGCTTGTCCAGGTGCGGCGCTGCCCCGCGGCGCCCCGGGCACGGGCGGGCCCGCTCTCCGCGGCACCTTGAGGCGGCCCAGCTCCAGCTGCCCGGTGCTCAGCGTCCGGAAGGTGCGGAAGCCGCAGGGGCTGGGGACCCTGTCCCGCTCCTCGCCTTCCTCCTCGCCCTCCTCCTCCTCCAGCAGCAGCAGCCCGGCCCTGGTGAGGCTGGAGGAGCCCGGCGGGCGGCTCCGCCCGCGCCGGGGCAGCTCGGGGCCGGCGCGGCCGCTCTCGGGCCCCAGCAGCTCCTTCTTCACCATGGTCACGGAGATGCGGTAGACGGTCTTCCTCTGCGGGGTGCCCCGCTGCATCCTGTCGGGCGAGGAGGCGGCAGCGGCCGGCGGCTCGCTGCTGTCCAGGAGGTACATGATGGCYCTGCCCTTCAGGCAGCGGCGGCCGCCGCGGGCATCGGCGCCGAGATGGACGGATGGACGGACGGACGGATGGATGGACGGATGGATGGATGGAGACACGCGGGCGGCTGGAAACGCAGAGCCACAAACCACTGCAACCCGGTTAAAAAAAAAAAAAAATGAAATAAATAAATAATAATTTTAAAAAAAAATGCTCCGGTGTCACACCCCGCTCTGCGGCGGGGTCAGGCTGGGCTCCCGCGGCGCTCCCCGCCGGCGGCCGGCGGCCGTGGCAGCGCCATCCCGGAGAGGCGCCGAGGGACGGCTCACGGCTCACATCCACGCACGCATCCTCCTCCCGCGAATCCCGGCTCCGGTCTTCACGGCACGGGAGCTGCAGCAGCCGCCTCCGATCTCATTGTTTACAGCGCGGCCGCACGGTTGCGGAGATCCAGCCGGGTTTTTTTTCGTTTTTTTTTTTT